TGATTGCACACATCACACTCCTTTGTTTTTTTAAAACTCTTTTTAAGATATTCATATTTCTTCAAAAATTTACCAATTCCTCAGTTTGAGTTCAGACACACCTGAGAGTGTACCCAAATCCCTCAAACCAAGACTTTAATACCAACTTTTAACGTCCCAAAAATTCATAGAAAAATTTTCATTTTTAAAACAATAAACCATACAAAGGAGTGGTTCCAAAAACCGATCAAAGTAAATATGTTATTTAAACATCAGAGAAAAGGACATAAATTTTCAATGCAGAAAACTCTGAGGGATGATGTGTAGTCATGTTGCGCCCTTCCCTTTCGTACCGGAAGTACCTGAAACCATAAGCATAAAACTGTCAGAACAAAGCTTAGTGAGTTCCTAAAAGACCACATACCATGCATACAGTAAAGATTGCTATGTGCCAACCATAGTCTTGCCATTATGTCGTGAGTTGTATCATGGTCTTTCCTTGCCATGCCAAGGGACATAACCCTAGATCTTATAGACAAGCGCCAAGAGCCACCTCATGGTCTTCCATGTAAGTATGATAAAGACAAGTTGCATACTACGTATATCTGCCAGGGTCCGGTCCCTGGTTTTGCATAGTATTTATCGGGAGCCACTTCCGGGTCTTTCAGACCAGGGGCCAACCACTTAGTATTCATATATAAAAAACTAGTAAGCAGCCATTGGTGCCTTCGACCTCCGGAGTACAGTGAGGAGACTCACCTGAATCACAATGTTAGCTAAAACCTTGTGCAACGTCGCACCAATCACAACCAACAGCTCTCACAGCCAAAATATGGGTGCTAAACACCTCCTAACAATCCACACAAGGAAAACTCTATGTCCACCATTTAAAAAATATAGATGGACTAGAATTCAACCTAAGAAAAAAGTCAACAATCAAAGTCAACGAATAGAGTTGACTTTAGCCACTTGCCAAGCTGTGGCCTTCCTTGGCCACATTGTATCCCTCGTTAAAGAAACCGATGGAAAAAACCAATTCGCCACATTGTGGAACCTATGGCCACGTCATGGGTGTTGGGTTTCCAGCAACTTAATGGGTTAAGCTGCTTTCTTCGATTCCAAAAGCTCCAAAACTTAGATCTAGTCGATACTATGGTCTAAATGGATAAATTTTACAACTTTATCAATTAAGACACCCAATGCGATCAATATATCTAACACTATGTCTAAATAAAGACAAAACCCATAGTATCTTAACCATTAAGCTCTTAATCCGAAAAAGTCCTTAACCCAACTACTCCATAAGGGTTTCTAATACCCAATCTAACAAAAAGGTGGAAGCCAACTTAATACTCTTGGGATTCATTTTAACACATGTATGTCTAATACATTTCTAAGATCCATTTTAGGTAAAAATGAGTTGTAAAGACCAAGGATTAAGCAAATGATAAGAACTTCCATGAAAGACGAGATCTATAACATATAATACTCTTAGGATCCAAGAGAGTCATAAAGTTGACAACTTAATGAACTCCTTCCTTCCAAACTTTCCCAACAAGAATAACAAAGGACCAAATTCAAGATCTAACCACCAAAAGTCATAAAGCAAGGAACTTGGACACTTAGAAAGGTCCAGAGACAAAGCGAGGTGATGATAATGTTGATTCTTTGCCAACTCTACCAAAATATCACCTTCTTCTTCTTTTTGTCTTTTTCTGCAAGCCAAGAAAGCTACAAGAAGCTCAAGAACAAAATAAGGAATGAAGACTAAGGTTTTCTAAGGTGAAAGGGGGCTTGGAGGCTATAAGGAACCCTAAAATAATTTTAGAGGGGTTTAAATACAAAGGGAACCCTAAAAGAATCATGGGCTTAGGCCTGATCAACTACCATGGCGTGGCCTCCTTGGCCACACCATCGGTGGTCCATAAATATGCAATCAAAAATTATTGCCATGACGTGGCCTCCTTGGCTACGTCATCGCATAGAGTTTTCTCCGAAAACTCCTCTTGATCCTTGATACAAGTAAGCTTAACCAATCTGGAACACAAGTGTTACATTAAATCTTCATCTCCATATCCTCTTATCATTTAGTAGCCTATAGGCTTATCAAGGCTTCTTCATAAGTTATTGGCTCATAATCTCCAAGTAGTGTGTTATCTCCTCAGTAATATGGAAACCATAAAAAATTAGGTGCACGATGCTTTCTATTAAATCTTTGAGGAGGAGGTGGAGGTAAGTTAGATTCCATAATAGGTGTATTAACCTCTTCTTAAATGTTAAGGCCAACTTTAGGTTCTTCATGTTTTACTCTTGAATCTCATCAAGATCAGTTTGGCTCCTACTAGTTCCTTTATATATCTAGTCCTTCTCTTAAAATACTATCCTTCAAGCAACAAACACTTTGTTCTCAGAGGGTTTGTAAAAAAAATATCCAAAGGAATTGTTGAGATATCCAATGAAGTAACACCTCTTAGATCTTGGTTCTAACTTATTGAGAACTTCACGAAAAACAAAATCCTTATCTTTGGACTTTAAAAAGTGCTAGATAGGGATGAGTCCCCTTCTTATTTTGAAAAGGTGCCTTTGAACCTTCTTAGTTGGTACAAGGTTAGGACATATGCAACGGTCTCTAGAATAGAACCCGATAAACTGATTAGAAGTGTAGCACGAGTCATCACAGATCGAATCAAATCTAATAACTTTTAATTTCTCCTCTCAGACACATAAATATGATACGATGTTCCAGGTGAAGCTAGCTGTGAAACGTTTCCATAGTTTCTATATTCTCCACCTCGATCAGATCGGAGAATCTTTACATTCTTGTCCAATTGGTTCTCTACTTCTCTTTAGATTGTCTTAAACACCTTAACGGGTTTAAACTTATATTTAATCAAATAAACATATACATATCTATGATAATCATTAGTAAACATGATGAAGTATCTCTCATCATGTCGTATGGTAGATCAGAACGGTCCACATACATCTGTGTGAGTGAGGTCCAACATATCTTTTCTTTTCTCATAGTTATGAGTGATGATGCCTTTTTCATCTTGCAAAGTAAGAAAATTTTGCATAGACCATCTGACTCTAGTAAACTGATTCTAAGAACCCATATAACTATAGCTTGGAGATGCGCTACCTATTTATATGACCAAGTTAATAATACCACATACACAATTTATCCAAATGACCTTTGAAAGAATCAACATTTAAGAATAGGTTGCCATTCTTTCTTATACCTATAATGGTTACATAAATGTCATTTCACGGATAAGCCTTAAAGTAAAGATTATTATTTTTGAAAACTAGAATACTTCCCTTATAAAATAAAAACTAAAATTCATCATGATATAATGCATGAAAATAAATAATATTTTTCCATATAAGGTGAATAGCAACAATCTAACAAATTGATTGAAAAACAACTAGATAAGTAGATATAACAAGCTTGTAATTAGTAATTCTAGTAACAACAATCTTGCTCTTGATTCCCATGAGCAATTCAAGATCACCGTACCATAGCCTACTTTGTTTTAATCCATGCACATCAAAGCAAATGTGAGTACCACATCTTGTGTCAAGTATCCAAGAATCAGAAGTTGAAGCACTCTAAAGTTTGACCATAAAAATATCTAAGGTGCCAATCTTATTAGCTTTGTTCTTCTTCATGTCCTTCAGGTATTTTGGACAACTATATTTCTCATGTCCCTTTTGTTGGAAGTAGAAGCAGATGGCCTTAATAGGATCAATGGGTGGTATGCCAAAGTGAACCTTCTTAGGGTTAGGGTTGAACTATTCAACCTAACCCTTTCCTTCACCTTTTTTATAAAAGGTATTCTTTCTTTTAATGCCACCCTCCCTTATGGCCAGAACCGGAGCTATTATGTAGACTCTATGAGGCTATAACAATACTTGCCTCGATAGTTTTCCAATTCCATATGGCATCTATCAAGGTCTAAGGTCTTTTCCAATTCCATATTATAGTTCGGGATGAATTGATGATATGAACCAGTCAACGAGTTGAGCACTATATCAGTAGCAACTCTTCAGGAAATGGAACATTAATACATTATAATTTTTCAATGTATGACTTCATTTTTACAAATGGAACATCAAAACACTATCATTTGTCATTCTTCAATAGTAGCATCCTCTATGAGAGTCTTAGAGATATTCTCATCTAGAAGGTACTCTTTCTTCTCATAACTAAGAGAATTCTTATCATACGTATCCAATCGAGATAGTTCAATCCAATGAGTTTATCTCTCTGAAGGATTTAGAGCAGCGAGCAATTTGGCAGATGTGCAAGTTCGAGAGGAACAATTACACTCGTACTAGTAGACATCATATATAAATAAAGTCTGTAGACTTTTCTTGATAAGTTTTCCTTTTGGTTGTATCTCCGATTCATTTTTTCAAATGACATGTTGTTTAGATCCTCTTTCTTTTTTTTTCTTTTTTTGTATGGAGAAAGTCTTGACCATATTTTGGATATTGGACTTTTGTATTGTAGTTTATACAATTTTGCAGTTTTATATATATTTCTACAAAAAATTGTAATAATACAAAAATAAAATTTGGTTTATACCTATAATGACAAACATGTCTTTTCTATAGGAACTAAAATGAACTTTAGACAAATGCCTACATGGGTGACATGTCCTCATCATATGTAGTGAAAATAAAATCTATGAAAATACTAATATAAGGGCATGTCCTAGTAGTTGGCATTGTTTTCATATTTATTATGCTAATCTATGCCAAGGACATGTCCTCGCAAAAAATTGACCTAGAGTGACCAATCTTTCGGCGAGGTCTTTCTAAGATATAGACATGAACCAATAAGCCCATCACTTACATTGACAAACATACTTGCTTAGGAGCTACGAGGAGGAAATTAGGGTCTATAGCGAGGATCTTTGTCCTCCTTAAAATATTGTTTTCTTGCAATGCATTTTCGTCATGTTTATTTTCCTTAAATCTTCCTTATGATGACTAAACCGTTAGACAAAATCATCGAGCTCATAAACAATCCTTCAAATATATTATAGAACATTTTACTTGCATGTTGTTACAGTACTCACTATTTTTTCTACTCTTTTTTTTTTCTTTTTCAACACTATATACACAATAAAGCATTTTGCTTACAATCATTTTCAACATGTTAATTTCTTTTATTCTCAATAGAATATTTTTTATTTCTTTTTTATATGAGATGTATAATCATATAAATCCATTGCATGGTATGGGTATTGCCTTTAAGGGAATAGATTTCCTAAGCGTTATCCCCATTCTTTCGCTCATATCCATCTCATGCGCCTTAATCCCATCACCCAAAATCCAATCAAACTTATGCAAAATCGAACCCAAAGCCATTGGGAGGACCCTTGAGGCTAGCGGTATAGCGGGACACATCCTTCGACCTGAACCAAATGGTATGAACTCAAAATGTTGTCCCTTGTAGTCCACAAACTTGTCATGATTCAAGAATCTTTCTGGCTTGAATTTCAATGCATCATGCCACGTTTGAGGGTCACGCCCTATTGCCCACACATTCACTAGCACTTGTGTTTCCTTTGGAATGGTGTACTCTAGCATCTCGCATGATTGCATGGCCATGTGTGGGACTAAAAATGGGAGGGGTGGGTGAAGCCTTAATGTCTCTTTAATCACAGCTTTGAGGTAAGGCATATTATCGATGTGCTTTTCTTCAAGATTTTCATTTAGGGGAATGATGCTTCTCAATTCGGCTCTTAGTTTTTGGTAAATGTTAGGATTGTGGAGGAGTTCGGCCATTGCCCATTCTAATGTGCTTGTTGTCGTGTCAGTCCCTGCAGTGAACATTTCCTGTCACATAATACAAGGGTCAGTTTCGAATAAAATGTTTCAAGAAAATATGATTTGTATTTTGATTTGAGATTCTAACTGAAACAACTCTTGCATAGTTGGATACAAGGGTCAGTTTCGAATAAAATGTTTCAAGAAAGGTGGTGTTTGGCTTAACTTTTAAATGGTCAAAAGTCCTTTTAGAAAAAGATCATAGGCAAAAGATGTTTGACAAAAGACTTCTAAAAGCTACTTTTGGATTTTACAAAGGAAGAAAATCAATTTTTTGGAAAAGTCATGAAAACTTGACTTTTTGTAGCTTTTCCAAAAAAATCTTTTTGCCTCTAAAAAGTTAAGCCAAACACCCCCAAAATGTAATTTGTATTTTGATTTGAGATTCTAATTGAAACAACCGAAGTTATTGGAATTAATTAAGTTAGGTTTAAAAAACAATTTATATGGTAACAAAAAGATATGTAATTTGTTGTAATGTTATTTGATGGTTTAGTCCCATGGTGACCATTATGTGCACATGTTGTCTTTAGATAATTAAAAATATATTTTTTAACACCCATGCCAAGTTACATTATAAACGTAAGCTACTTTTGTTCATTTCATTTTGCTACTTTGGTTTGTCTATTTGGTAGGCAAGATACTCATTAGTCATTTCATTTGGTCAAAATTAACGACATAGAAACGGCCAAAGCTTGCACTACAACAAAATGGAGGTAATGCAACAGTTATCTACAAAATGAGGCCTAAAGCAATAACTTTTCTAGATGGGCAACACAAGCAGTTTTCTTTAGTGTTGCATGTATTCTATATGTGCAACACTTTTTCCCTATTCCTTCCAATCTACACTTATTTACATTAAAAACACCCCTTTTACTTACTCCTAATAGCCTATGACATCATGTTTACCTATCAACTACCACAATACGAAAACATTTTAGCTTGTTTTTTTATATCAAGAGTGCAACCCTTTTTCAAGTATAAGCCTCATTTTAAATAATGCGATGCTATATTTATGAATTGGCTTTCGGCACCTTAACTCTAGTTATACAAATGTTATAATATGTTATACTAAATTTCATTCCGCTATAGAAATTAATGTCAACTACTCATAGATAACATCTAATTTTCATTTTACTATTTCGTTCATTTTGCACTAGAGACGACATAGATCGTTAAATCATGATCACATTTTCTAATGATAGACAAATTTACAAGTTTTAAGATGAGATCATATATTTAATTATATCAACCTCACTCCAAATGAAATTATGATCAATTTATGAATTATTTCGGTGATATTCATAGATTCACCAACACTTTTAGTATTTAACGATGATTGTAGAATTAGCATAATGGATGTGAACTTTTCGAAAGACTTACAAACACGACTATATTGATGGTTGTAGAAGAGAACATAGAGGGTCCTTCAACACCATCACCACGATACTCCAAGAGCACATCCAAGTAATCATTTCTTCTTTTTTCACCACTCTCTTCTTGCTCTTCCATTCTTTCTTTGATGAATCCTCCAGCTATATGAAACGCTTCACGTACATGATATTGCATGTTTTTCTTGATGCCTTGTGGATCAAGCCACTTTAAACATGGAATAAAATCGGCCACGTTAGGTTTTCCACCGTATTCCATTACTTTCCCTGCATGGTAAAAGAACTTTGCTCCTCTCTTTGAATTTAAATCCAAAAGATCCTTCGAGAACATTAAATTCCCAATCAAATTAAACGCCATCAAGAAAAAATACCTACCAACATCAATGCTAGAGCCATCATTGCCACAAACATCGTATATAGACTTCACCATTTTATTGATACATCGACTACGAATGTTACATGTGGCGTCTAGGCGATTGTTCAAGAAAAACTCAGTGGTACAAAGCCTTCTCAATAGTCGCCAATTTGGCCCATATTGTGCAGTTATCATGGAGCCTATTTCGTCTCCAAATTCTCCTTTCATGCATTCATAGACCTTTCGACCAGCGAGAACCACATCATGGTTCTTGAACATGTCACGAGCAGCTTCATTTGAGGAGATGACCACTGTACACATGGAGCCTAGCCAAAGGGTCATGATGTTGGGGCCATGAATGTGAGCTAGTTGGGCAAACGAGTCGTGGGGTATCTTTACAAAGCCTAGCTGGAATATGTTTCCGACTATTGGCCATGGTGTTGGCCCTGGTGGTAGCCGGCGGAGCTCAGCCAAGTGCATGCGGCGACGATGATTAACCCATAGAATGCATATGAATGAAAGTAAAACATACCCCATCAGCTCGTGATATTCCATGTGGCGCTTGCTTTGTTAGGCGAATGAGTTGAAGAAATTCAAGTAGTGTTGTTGTCAAACTGATCGATTCATTAACTAACCTATAAAACAATTGTTTAATAATGATGAGATTACAATTGAGAAATCAAATAGCATTTTGCCTTTTAGAACAAGTGTCAAAATGAAAAAAATAAATAAAATAAAAAATAAATAAATAAAAAATAAAAAATAAAAATATAGTAGCCACATGTCATTATTATATATACAAAGAAAATGAAAATATTTAATTACCTCCTTAACCTTGCATATACCCGGATCCAAATGTAAAATAAATAAAGTTAATTTATGTAACGACAATTTATGAAATATAGCTGTAAATCAAATTAAAGAATTGAAACAACACAACGTTTATAACGTATCCTATTCTAATAAATGAATAGATTTAATCTCATTGTGATAAGTGTCACTCTAATACAAATCGTCATTAATATTATGTCATGTGTTATGTAAATATATTAGGCAACCATTTCAAAATTCAAATTTATATTTGCTAATTATATGTTAAATTTGAAGTTATAATAACTTTAAAATTTTGATATATCTCTTAATTAATAATTTATTTAAAATCATTTATTTAAAACAATTGATTAATAATTATATATTTTTATTATAAAAGTTTAATTAATTTTATAACCGTGGTTTCCACGGGTTATAAACTAGTTATATATATCAAGGTTCTAAATAACCTAAGACTATTTATCGGCAATATCAAAAATCAAGTTTTTTTATCCATGGCGAGTCACGTAGTTTGTAAAGTGTGAAATAAAACGGTAATTTTGTATATAATTAATAATTGTATATATATTTTTTACTAGTATTCGTTTTAATATACATATATAACTTAAGGCGGAAATTTATTAAAACTCGGCGGCAACTATAAGACTTGGAGTCATAGCGAGTTTTTTAGAACCTTGATATATATATATATATATATATATATATATATATATATATATATATATATATATATATATATATATATATATATATATATATATATATATATATATATATATGGAGATACTCGTCCATTAAACGTTTATGATGAAAAAAAAATTATTATAAGGTTGTAATTTTTTTATCATTTTCACATATTCAAGATAAATTAAAGTTAAAAAATTTAGTAAGTTAATTTATTTTTTGTAATGATAATTTATTAAATATTTCGCACAAGATTTGAACTTTGATAATCAAATTAATCTGTTCCATTTAGGGCATTCACAATGCATTGAACTCTATAGAGTTCAATGGAGTGTCACATCATCATTCAGTATTTCATACAATTTTATTCATTTTTATCCCACAATGCATTAAACTCTACAAGTTCAATGGAACATATTAAAAAAATATTTATTTAAAGACTTTCATTTTTCCCATTGAAAAATTCAATGGTCATTGAACTCCAAATCCATTGAATGTCAGGGTGGTATTTCACAATGGTGGAATTTTATCTATTGAATGACAAGTAGGCATATCATCTCATTCAACTCTTCTATTAAACTTCCCATTGTGGATGCTCTTAGCTTCTTTTAAATGTTAAGAATTCATCATATATAAGCATTGAACTCTACTTGCAAATTTTGTATTTGTTTCGGATTTATTGACAAATTAACATAAGTTTTTTGGAGGCAAATAGAAAGCTAAAATCAAGATCTCATCTAAAAACGATATTTGCTAAATTGGTTGATAAAAACGATGTTTGTTAAAAAGTATAGGTGTCCGTGATACAGTGTTATGCAGTTTATAGTTAAAACTGTAAACCGCGTCAAATATGCAGTTTGTGTTTGTTAGAAACCGCACCGCAAAGGGTCTAAACTGTATTATACTGTGCGATTAAATGTGTGCGGTTGGCACAGTTAATTTATTCGGTTTAGGTGCGGTTCATGAGTAGCTGAATATCATTTTCATTCGTCATCAATCTATTTTGTAATTTTATTTTGCTAATTAACGCAACCAATTATTAAACTTTTATCCTGTATTATAACATTTCTTGTTTATTATACATTTTATAACTCGATGCATTACAATTTACAAGTTCTTTATAACAACCTATATATTTGAGAACAATTTTAAAGAAGTTAGAATGCACCGAGTCATAAACTTTTAAAGATTAGCAAAATTAATCCCACAAAATTGCACAACAAACTATTCCGAAATTACTGCAATATAATTTTCTTTTAAGACCATTATAGTGTCTACTTTAAAGCCTTTATTCTTGATTGCAAAATTATATATAATGCGGTGGCATGCGGTTATATATATATATATATATATATATATATATATATATATATATATATATATATATATATATATATATATATATATATATATATATATATATATATGATTCAGTATTACAAGACAAAGGAGGTTGGGAGCACATCAGCGTCCGCCAATGGTTTAATGTTTTTTTATATTGATATATATGTATTCTCCCTCCCCTCAATTTTTTTTTTTTTTTTATATATATTAAGTGCCCTCAATATTTCAAAGTTTTAGATTCGCCATGTATATGGGAGAAATAAGGCAAGAACACCAAAGTAGGATGACTGCATGTCCTTGGAAAGGGATTCTTGATTGTTATAAGTACATCGGTGAGATTGGGATTTATATGGATTCTAATAACGAAACTTCGGTAAATTCAAATATTTTTGGTTCACTTTTATTTTACTTTTTTTTTTTAACGACAAATTTTATATATTTCTAAACTAACTTTTTAAATCGACATGTCATTAACCATAAAGCTATATATTTATTTTATTTAATTAGAATATGACAAAATATTAGAAATTGTTTACTAAGAAGGACAAAACATCGTCAATATGATTGGAATTTTAGTCGGTAGTTTTGAATTCTATCTAGTAATCATTAGAAAAATCTCTATATTTCGGGAACATTAATAATAAAACCAAGCTTTTTTAACAAAAAAAATGATAGAGATTATTTTACTACAATTTTACTGTATTTTCTTTTCCCTCAGAAAATGTATAATTTTATTGTTATGTAAATATATTCTCTCCATATGACATGATTTTTTGTAATGTTCTTTACTTTAAGATTAAAATATCTATCCAAAAATGACAAAAGAACACTTAATATAAAATAAATGATATCTTATTTGAGACATAGAGAATACGGTAAGGTTACAACAATATCATATGCTCTTATAAAACATACAACAAAGTTAAAGTAAGATAATATCATTTGTCATAAGAAATAAAAAAGTTCGATAAGATTATAATAATACAATATTATACATTAGGTAGAGAAAACATTTTATTATATTAGTATAATACCCTTCTGTCAGATACAGAAAGAATACAATAAGATTACAATAAGATAATATCATTTGTCTAACCAAAAGAATATAATATTAAGATAATATTATCTGTCAAATTGTGATAATACTATAAAATTATAGTAAGATACTATATTGTCATTTTCTATTTAAAAAGTGACTATCGTTGACGACAAAATATAAGCGTTTTTCTAAATATTACCGTCTAAAATATTAAATCTATAAATGATTATTGGTTTCTTGTCCTTTCGGTCAAAACATTGTCTGTATTTGTTTTTTGTTTTTTTTTATGTTTAAAAAAAATAAAATAATGACTTTATCATTGTCCGTACTATACATGTGATTTTCTTGAAGACTTATCTATTGCTAAAAGGGTAGGAAATGGTACTTTTATTGGACAAACGGGGTATAGGATGGCTCTCTTAAGCAAAATTTCAAAGCCCTTTTTGGGCTGGGAAGGAAAAGAAGAACATCTATGGTTGATGAAATTGAAAATGAAATGGTTAATTAGGAGTAGAGGAGAAAATTTAAGATGATAGACAATAGTTGTGGGTTTGATAAATTAAGTCTAAAGAAGGTGAGGATAAGACAAAACGTCTAGAAGATATGATTTTACCAATAAAAATGATTTATGGGTTTGATTGCTTAACAAAATTGGGGTATCGAAATTTTAGTGTCACCAAGCTACTTTTAGTGTCATCAAGCCACTTAATATAATTCAAATTAATTTTAGAGAAGTTGAGTTTATATTAGCTATAACATGAGCCAAAGGTGTGGAATACATACTCAAATAAACTAACTTAATCTTAGGAACACACAGGTCATCTGGCAGCACCCTTTGTGTGATCGAAGTGCATGTTCTTATGAGACTCAATTTTCCCATCAAATTCTTAATTGAAAATAACTAGTTTCATATTTACATATATTTTGACTTTTGTTTGCAGAACATATTTTTTTTACATCAAGTTTTTTGCATGTTTGTGTAGAGAACATTAAACAAAACAATGTATTCCGTATTATCTGAATATTGTAATCGAGATTAGTTTTTCTTGAATCATCTCAAGTATGGTTTAATGATACCTCATATTTATATGGTCCAAATCACGGATTTTAGAAAATGGTATACACATAATTCCAGAAAGTTATGCTAAGTTATTCTTATAATTGCAATATTGATTTAAATACCAATAGTTACTTGCATAATTCATAATTGATTGTCAACTTTGTTTGGGACTAATTAGGTGTGGTGTCCACTCTTGACTGTCACTGTTAAGGAAGATGGTTTTGTTTTTCATTCTCCATTAGTTTTCTCGCCATGGTTTATATATATATATATATATATATATATATATATATATATATATATATATATATATATATATATATATATATATATATAATTTCTAAGTTGTTAAAAAAATAACTATCTTTTATAATTTATTTGCATTTGTATTAATATTAGATGTATTGTTAACAATATATTCCTATAAATTATGCTGCTCAATTAAATAGTGATATGTGTATCATTTAATGATATTTTAATATACTAATATGATACATGTCATCATTTAATTGGATAGAAAAATTTATAGGAACAAAAGTAGAAGAATATTTAATTTCTTTTGTTGTAAAATACAAACAGATAAAATAGATAAAATATGGTGTTGCCACATTCATCTCCTTAAAACACCAATTGAGTAAAAGGTATAGTTAACTTACCGTGTGGGGTATTTCATCGATAATTTCGTCCAAAAATCCAACGAATAATTCACTACTAAATGAAGACATGCCCTTCATAACTTATTTTAAGGAAAACTTTAGCGACAAATATGTTTGTCGATAAATGCATGTGACATATTGAGTGCTAAAAAATCAGTGTTCTATATGTGTGTGTTAGTGTGTGTAAAAAGATCATAGAGCAAGGTCACATGATCTGCCTGCGCTCACTCTAGTTGTTTACATCGACAAGCGCAATGACATTTATTAACAAAGATTAATAGTAATTCAAAGTATATTTATTTAAGAAAAGAAAAATAAAGGCTTCCGTTTCCAAAAATGAAAAAGAAAGTAATCTAAGCAAAGAAATTTTCACTTTGAAAACGAAATGAAATACATACCTTCATCATCATATTGCCTTTATGTTGTTCCAAATTCTCAAGGGATAAATAGTTTGTTTTAGATATTGAGTTTGATTATAGACTGAGGGGTGTTGTAATGAGGGTATTTATAGAGCAAACCAAAGGGGTTTAATTTATTAATTAACAACCATCATTCCACTAATCACACGCTCCATAAGTTGTCCACTCATTGTGTTCCAAGTGAGGGATCTGACTTTATAACCTAAATATTATTCACTAGGCTTAACATTGCGCGTTACGCAATAATGAATTTTAAGTGGTTAAAATAATTATGAAAAAAAAAATAGAAATACGTTGAAATTTATGTTTGTAGTCATGTTTTGTGCATTAAGCGAATTATCAAATCACATAAAAATCTATCAACTTATATTTTGATATTACCTAATATAGTCTATATCTTATAAACTTTACTTTTACTTTTATAATATTCAATATATATTATAAGTTTTTGTATAACATTAATATAATCTACTTTTCTTATGTCCAGTTATATTTTTTGGATAAAGTAAGAAATAAATTCTTTTGAATGAGTTATTAATAAACAATATTGAACTAATAAACTTTGTATTACACTATTTATATTACACCAAAACATCCAAGGTTTCGTATATGAACTTTCAAATATTAAACATTGAAACTAAGAGTGAAGTCATACAAAATATATCATTATACATAAATGTCATCAAGAGATTTAAAATAAGTCGATTAGTAAATATGATATTTAATTTTAATTACATATTTTGCAAGACGTACGTTTGATTTTATGTTGCTGCGCCGATAATCTTCTTCCTTAATTTGTACCTAAAAAATTAAGGTGAATAGAAATATAAAATAGATATTACGAAACAATAATATAAATAATTAAAAAGGATATGTGGATCTCATACCACCAGTTAAAGACAACATACCCTCTAGTGGTATCGATTCCTATGTGAAATTGAAGTAGTCATTCTATGTACACCTTGTTTTCTAATTACATAAACAAATATGAGTAATCAAACATAAAAATGTTATATTTATGTAAGAAAAATATTTTGGTTAACTAACAAATTAAATAAGATAAGTTTAAGAGTTAGGATTTTCAAAACATTAATATTTTTATTAATCAATCAATTAAGTAACACATGTTGTTGAAATTTTTACAATCATTATTAAAAAGCATTTGAAATATTAGATTTTAAATAAATTTTGGTTGAATTGTTTTGACTTGTATTATATATATATATATATATATATATATATATATATATATATATATATATATATATATATATATATATATAGAGAGAGAGAGAGAGAGATGGAAAATATAACATAATTATGAGTTTTAATTAATTATCTTTTTGAAACGATATAATTACAAAACAAACAAAAAATATTTAAAATATTTAACTAAATATTTTTGAAATCAACCTATATAACATATGATCAATATATTAACGATTAAACTACAATATACAACGACTTTATTACAATAATCCAAAATTGAAGAAAATATAAAAATGAATTAGTATAACAAACTTACAAATTAAAAGCTATAATATGATAGCATATTTCCAAAAGTGGTCATAAGACCTTAACTCAACACAAAAACCATTAAGTTTGTTTTCTTTCTGAAATTTTATATGATTTTTATGTATGTCTTCCCAAAAGACTGACCTTTTTATAGTGAACTTTTCACTAAATGCTAATTAAACATAATATAAGTTATAAAACTTTGAGTGTTAAATCATAAGTAAGAAAACTTTTGAGTTGCATTAGTTAAAAGGGGGTTTCAAATAGATGTGGTTTGAGGAAGTTAAAATTGGGGGTTTCAAATGCATGAGATTCAAGAAAAAATGTTAGCTTTATAAGTATGTATGATTCTTTTCGCTAACAGTTGTCTCTATTCATACTTGGCCCTATTTATTATAATTCAATTTTTTTTTGTTTTATTTTACAATATCTATCTTAATTTTTTTTGAACCAACAATCTTTTTAAGAAAAAAACAAAAGAAGAAAACCCAGCCTCACATAACAAGGTAGGAATACAGAAAAACAGTCTCCACCACAATATAGAATATCAAGTTCCCCTATAGTGCTTTACATAAGTGGACTAATACACCAATCTATCAATTTATAAACTTTCATAATGCTTCTATGCTTAAACCACATGAACACCGATGACTGAACCATATCCACAATCTTTGTAGATACAATCCTTGATTGATTGAAGGTTCTATCATTTATCGCTTTCCACAGACACCACATCGTACCATAGCAGATAACCACCAATACCTTTTTCTTTTTTGGACAGTTCCCCCATGTTGCCACAAATTCTAGAAGTTCAGATACTTTATCAAATGAGGGCATCGAAATACCACACCATCTAAATCTCCATTCCCAAGTAGCTTTGGCAAAGTGACATACACACAGTAGGTGGTCATTTGACTCCTCTACTAAATTGCATTCACCAAGTATTTATGTTGATCTATCAACATCTTGATGCTTCACATATCATCTAGATGTGTCATCTGAGATCATAATGATCAAAATTGCTCTCTACAAGTGCTTCATGTTCAACAAGTGCTCCATGTTAACAACAACTGCTCCATGTGTACAGCTACTGTTCCATGTTCACTTTAAGTGTTGTATATAAGCTACAAGTGCTCAAACATCTAATTCTTCAAACACTTGTTGAATCGTCAAGATCTTTCCAACCCGAAACATTCTGATAGTGTTTGTTAGAAAGTGTAAATCAATACTCAACTTATTTCAAGTGGCAATCACATAAATATATTTTCAATAGTTTTCCCCTATGTGATAGTTACTAAAATAAGGAGTCTTAAAAAGTGTGTACAAGGAATAATAGATTTAACATTTTCCCCCTCTGCTTCAATTAAATTTTATGTGGAAGCAGACACAAATAAACAAAAAACTTTGAAAAATAATTCGAGAGAACGTGTTCCTCAAACTTGAATGATTTTGTTAACGAATAATTTGAACTGTCAATATGACAATTGTAAAAAAACAAAAAACAAAAAAAAAATAAAAAAAAATAAAAAAGTTGATAAAAAAAGATTTGAAATTGATTAGTAATGTAAAAAGCTTTTTGGAATTGTAGTATAACTTCTAATCAAGTTCCGATTTGAAATAAATATGTTCGAATTTGCGTAATCTAGACAAAAATTAATTTTGTTTTGTCAAGATAGGAGAATGAATTAATAGATATGAATAATATGCAAACTCGTGATGTGTTTTATTTAGGATAGAAGTTTGAAGAAAAAATCAAGTATTGAATAAGAGTGAAAAACTTGATCTTTTTCTACAAACGGAAAAATAAATAACAACTTTGATATTTTGCTAAATCATATCGACAAATGATATGATAAAACAAAGTTGCTAATTCTTGACCTTAAATGACTATAATATATCAAAAATAATTTGAAAGAAAAGTTTTGTTCTAAAAAAGGATTCTTTTAATATATATATATATATATATATATATATATATATATATATATATATATATATATATATATATAATGGCACTTTCAAAATATGTTTTTAAAAAAATGTAGATATCTTTTGAAATTAGATAAATACTAAGATTTAAAAAGAAAAAAAATAATAATAAAAGAAATTATCATTTATTTATTATTTAATTTTAAAAGTGGATGTTTAATTCAAGAAAAAGAAAATCTCAAAAAGAAGAGAGAAAAAAAGATGGCGCAAGGAGGGGGAGCGAGATGGAAGTGCCAATGACAGGGCTTAAGAGGGGTTGCTCACGAGGAGGGTGTTGGATTAGTGTCTAAGTCCATAACTATTTTGATATGTACTTGACCCGATGGTGCATGGTCCTTTTGGGTTGCCTTCACCAAAGCAACTTGATTGGAGAAATAAATAAAGAGAGAGAGAGGTTATTATGATTTATTAATATGTTATAAGAATAATATATTAAAGGAGAAATCATATTTGCTTAATTAATATTGGTCAATAATTAATTAGGAATTAATTTTATGATCAAGTGTAATTAATTAAACTAGAGGGGCTGAATTGTGATTATGTGATAGTTACAAAATATGGTAATGGTTATCCTAAATATGGGTTGAACGAATTCAAGGAGATAAGGATCCTTGAAATCGTCCAAAGGATAAAGGATAAGGGTTTTCAAGGCTTATCTTATGGTTGCTTTGTGGATAAGCAACTAGATAAGGATAATGACTGAAACCCTATCTCTACACCTATATAAAGACCCTAAGGCCTTAGAATTCGTGTACTTGTTCCCAAGAGTCCTAAGGACGAATTCTAACCTCTCTCCTCTCTCTTTATACCTTCTCCATTTGCTCTTGGTGTTTGTAAGCCATTAGAGGAGTGACACTTGTGACTCTAAGCATTCCAAAGTCAATTCAAGGAGGAATTAGGATTGTTATTGCATATAACAATCAAGGTATGTTCTTAAACCCATTCATATGTTAATATCGATTTCATATACTAGAATTAGGGTTTAAGTCTTGGATTCAAAGCATGTACAATAGAGAAACCTAGATCCAAGCATTAGGGTTTGTATGAGCACATAGGATGTCTTATGACCAAAACCCATCAGTGGTATCAGAGCCATTGGTTTGGTTTCAATTGTATGAACTTGATATATTAGGGTTTATTCCAATAAACCCTAAGAGGCTAGGGTTTTTCGAGATTAGGGTTTGCAAACCCTAATTTGCAAGAGTTTGAATAAGATCTTCAAATCCTTTCCTTAAACCCTTAAATTTCGAAATCTAGGGTTTGTTATAATCCCTTGATTTTTCGAAATTTGCCTCCTCCCCAAGATAAGATCCTAATTTTTAGGGATTTGGATTATCCCATATCTTGTAATTATCCTTTTGTTATATATGGTAATTCAAGATCTTGCATTATCCATCCATATTTTCGAAATCTATATAGATATTTAAGGGATTAGGATAACTTAAATGTATAAATGGTAATTATCCTCATTATTTAGATAATCCCTTATGATTTAATAATTAAATTAATAGTCTAATTTAAGATAATTATTAAATCAAGAGTTTTAATATTTAAAATTTTAAATTTAAATGTCATAAATTCGAAATTTTAAGATAGATTAAAACTAAATTGTTTTGAAATGTTTCAAAACTTGCCCTCAAGTTTTGGAATTTAAAAGT